ATGTGATCACTGACTTTCAATTTTGTTGTGAGAAATTGCAGCTAGGGTCATATGAAGGGGATCGTAGTGTGGGTCCAGAGCTGAAGCCTTGCATTTGAGTTTTCGCCAAGCAACAGATATCGATTGATGAAATCTCCAGTGTTCAAGCAAGTGCTACTTGTTGGCCGATCTGCCGTAACGTGCGCACGTTGGGGTTTCCAATAGATACGAGTGGGCGGTGATTGTCCGCAAGGTCTTATCGACTGGATCGGAGCGACACTTTGCGATCGCATGTAACGCGGAACTAACAGAAAAACAACTCTTGGAGAAAGATGAGAGGGCAAAGAATTGGGGGTTGAAAACAATATGGATTAAAAGGAATTGAGAACGGGACGATTCAGTGGAAAAAGCGTTTGAGCGGGAATAGTGATCGGGGTTTGAGCAGTAGCATCCTCACCCCTATTTACTTTGCTCGGTGCAGCAAATCGGACGCCATTGCTTATCCTTTGGGACAGTCAGAACCTCCAGAAACCCTTTAAAGGCTACTTTAGAGTATTGCGTGCGCTTGATACTGTCGGGTTAACTCCGTTTAACCAGGCCAAGGATTAGGGTTCTCAACCAAATCTGGCCACAAGGCAGTGAACTATACCGTGTCCTTTAGGTGTAATAAGTCTAACCGCTAACTTGGATAATCAGGGACTGCGGTTGTCTGACCTCTAACCACTGGTCAATCTGGAATGACTGAAGGCGCAAAGATCACTACCGAGCATTGTTCAATGGATCTTTGATGCACGCATACCATCGCACCAGCATAACACATAACCTCATTGCGATGAATAGCAATAACTGAGGAAGCTTGAGCAAGATTTGCAATCGATTTCAAATGCACCATTTACCTCGTAATTGTGTGATATCCAACATCCTTTCCAGTCACTTATGTGACCTAATGGCAAGACGCTATCCAGTAGAACCCACACCAAGAAGTTCCCCTGACATCTTTACTGTGTAATTGATCGCCCAACTTGAGAGTTCACAAATTATGATGCGTACTAGCAACGATGCAACCAGTCTCTAGGCACGCGAAGCACGTGTAGAATAGGGGGAGATAATAATTGCAGGGCTTCATTCGGACCATCCTCTGGTGTGGATTATCACTTTCAGACCGCAGCTCCGTCGTTACTAACCTTCGATGTGCACAAACCATCGGGATAGGATAGGGCCATGAGCGATAATGAATTGCTCCCATCTTCGTTGCTAAAGCGTAGTGCTCAGCTTCACCATCCAGACATGACTCTTCCTTGTGTTTACGACTAATTGCTTTTTCTCTGTTGTCAAGTGCTACGTCACCGTCTTTCCACATTCCGTAACGAGAAAATACTTCCCGTGTGTTTGTTGACATAGTTCAGCCATCAATACAGGAGTCACTTTACGTTTGTCCGCCTCGAATTAAACCGTTTTTAGGTTTTGCGTTTGTTGAGGTGTGCACCACGACTTTTTCCAAATTGCCTTTGGTTGTGAGAACGACGACATAGGGATTTGGGATCAGTCACCGCTCTTGGTCCCATCACGGGTGGGTTGTTGTTGTTGTTAGACTATTTTCATTTAGTTAGGAGGATTGGAGTAGAGACATTGTGTAACCTTTCAAGGACAGAACAAGCTTTAAGGTTCTAACAAAGTTTTTCAATTTCAAACTTTCTGTCATTTACGGCTTGGTTGTTAATTGCATCCTATTATTCGCTTCTCTGCTAGCCAATCCCATTGATCGGCTACCACAAGTACCAATCACGATCCTCCATGATCCGAAGCTCGTCTCGCATTGATGTCACCACCTCAAGTCCAGTCGCATCTCATCGGGCTTACTTGTTTCTTCAACGAAGCACGGGCAATGCTGATTTTCAGCACAGCAAATATTCCCATTGTAATTAGATGAATCAAGACCAGAAATCAGTTCAGGGTTAAGAATTCTTTTCGGCAAACTCTCTTCAGACCCAAGCGTTTACATAACACGGATTGTGTGGGGTAAGCGTCAAATCGGGCTGGGATTAATTCCTACGGTGTTCAAACGGTCAAGATCGATGACTAAATGTGGCTACAGATAGCAGGAAAAGTGCACCAAAGGAAATTAATACAATCTTCAGCGGCCTAAAGTAAATAGATAAGGTCACGAAAGGTAGTTAAGTAACCATGTCAGTCGGCCACGGTAGTAGTATCGGACTTAGGTATCGTTTATGTACATGATGAATGGCCTCAGATGATGGATGTAAATAGCCTCGGCAATAGTCAAGATTTGCTTTCGGAAGCCTTGTGATAAGTGTTCAGGTAGGGAGTAGATGACTTTAAAGTCATTCTCAGATGCAGTATGGCCACTTTTGAGGAGGTGTGACATGATTGAGCTGTCTGAGGACCTCATTTCGCCTTTGTAAAACCACACCGGGATGCGTTCGCGAATCCTCTGGGATAGACGTCTCGTTGAGCGACAAACGTATCGTGCACCACAAGCCGCTGAAGCTTGTATTAATTTCCTTTGACCACTTTTCTTACCATCTGTAGCCGCCTTTAGTCATCCATCTTGACCTTTCAAACACCTTGGAAATCATTACCAGCCCGATTTGATGCTTACCCCACACAATCCGTGTTATGTAAACGTTTGGGTCTGGAGAGAGTTTAGCGAAAAGAATTCTTAACCCTGAACTGATTTCTGGTCTTGATTCATCTGATTACTTGTTTCTGCCGTGGTGATATCTAGTTGACGATATTCTCGCCAACTTGTTTGATTTTTTTGAAGCTTTACTTCTCAAATGCTTTGGTTAGTACGGGTAATCATTCTCAGCAACAGCAGTTACTTCAGCCATTTGAACTGATGCTCCGCTACCGTACAACCACGGTGACCTACGAAACGACGAATAATAGCAGGGAGAAAAAGGGACCTAGAATAAAACCTTTATGCCCTAAACAAACAATCATAGTTAAGGCGCTTACACCTTGTCAACAACGTACCGTCACAGATAGCTGGCTCTCGCGCAAAGATAAGGCGGCATCGGCGAAACCGTTTCCTTGTGACTTTCACTCATCATTATCATTATATACACGTTAGCTAGAGGTGGGAAACACGTTAGCTACTGTGCCGCAATATACAGAAGAAAAAAAGAGAAAAATTCCACAGGTGCAAGCTTGCTGAGCTACCGATAACGGATGGGCATCGTTACGATAAGTTACCACCCAGCTACTGTGCATCAAAAAAGTACTATGCAAAATTATATAGGGCTAAATAGTGAGATCGTGGTTGGAGGGGAGGCTAAGAGGGATGGGGTGGGACAAAAAAAACTCACAGCACGAACGCCACTGAGGTCGGCTCCTAGCCATATCAGCAAGTGTATCCAGCCAAACGTGTTCATCGTCTTCCGGACAACAACCAGGGAGCCGTGACGCTCCAACCGAGGCTAGCTTCGAAGTGAGGGCCTTCATTCCTCTGGACCAAGTTATCGCTTGGCCACTACTCCTCTTCCATCCGCATCCCCGGCGCGCAAACAATGCACGTCGCGGGAGTCGCTGAGCTGATATGCGTAGCACGTGGCCGAGTCGTCGGAGCTTGGTGCGTGAAATGACGGTGCTGAGCGGTTCATTTCCTTTTCCTGTGCCATAAACAAGGCGTCGAACACGCTCGTATGGCTTTCACTACGCCGGCCAATATCATCAGCTTACGACCGTATTATAAAAGAGGTAAAAAAATTGTTCAGCGTAGCCGTTGCGTAAACAGCTGCTCACTACCCAAGGAATCACGGGGCATCATTTTTCTGCCTCCCCTCATTTTTCAGCAAACTGAAGCCAGTACTTCATACTTTTTCTCAAGTTTGACGATTTCACCCTAGAGATTCCTTGCTCGTTGATTGCAAGGTATAACCGTCCTTTACTGCTTTGTTCAGGAAGAAAATCACCCGGGATCCATTTTGGCATGTCCCATTTTCCCTTCGTATGGGATTACTTGCTAATTTGTCTCAACAGTCGCTCAGAGTATATTCATCGCAGCCCAACAGATTTTCCTTTTCAACCTTTTACGTGTGCTAGACATGTTTTAGGCGCCAACCGAAAATCACTTCATTTGAGGAGTTTAGTGAAACTAAGTAGCTGACCTGACAACGTGGTGTTTCCGCTCTGGTCGATATGATATGTGTATTCTGTTCTCTTCCAGTGGAAATTCTGGTACTTAAAGCGTTATATTATTTTGCAGCAGTCTATGAATAGACATTGAGCCATCGGAAACCATGGAACTCAAAACAAGGTACAGAAATAGTAAAAGAAAACACAACACAACACATCAAAGTCCATGGTTTCGTCAGAGGGCGAGATACTACCCGGTTGCCCAAGCCGAAGTAGGGTGTTGATTTATGGGACACCACCCCTAGCCTTTGGCTGAATAGCCTGCCCGCAAGGCAGCGGAGCGAATTCAGGGAATCGCGCCCATTGGGAGCCGGTTACTGATTGCTCAGTTCATACGCCTTTCGGTTTTTCCTTTGTCACACAGTGGCCCAATGCTCCCTAGAACTACAGCACAAGGTTGCTGGAATACAATGCTTCGCCAGGATGAAGCAAGGGGCAGTGACTTTATTTAGTGGCGAGTCACGTCCGCCATGTCACAATGTTGTTAAACGGACATATATGGCTTTTTATAGGGAGGACGCTTGCCAGACGGAAACCCACCACGTCCTGGAACACTGCTGCCGGACCATTTGTTGGAACGGGAAAATCCCGAACCACCCAACTGGCACCACGAGGAGGTTGTTCGGCAAGCGTTAGAAAATCATTTTATTTCCTTTGCCTATTCGAGCTGCTCATTGCAGTTAACTGCCATTAGATGCGTCGTTTATATGCCCGCCAACAGTGTCGTACCCAGCATTTCGTACAGGACGCATTGTTGGGATGCATTCATTTCTGTTCCACCCCCCAGCATGAGCTTCGCATATATCAGTTTTATGTTAACACAGTTCTTCGCTCGTTTATGTTCTCCATTTGCGCAACGACAGCAGAAAATCCCGACTTGGTCGAGGAATCCCCATCATCCGAGACGTATCTGTACATTCAGGGACACCTGCGAGGCTCGCCTTTATTCTTCCGTGACCCCCTGGAACAGCTTACTGCGGGCGCCAAGGGTCCATTTGTTCATCTCGCTGGTTGGGGCGATTTTCCTTTGGCCGGTGCTCAGTGGAAAGATAAGCGATCCGGTGCACAGCGTTGGTCTGTCACCGATTTCGTGCCACAGTCCGACGAAGGCGCTTCAGCTTTGTTACGAACCTCAACTATTTCCGATGCCAGCCGTAAGTGCATGTGTGCAATCATCTGCGACTTGTTGTCCAATAGTAGCATTTTCACTTTTGTAATTTTGAAATCAGGTTAAAGCATGTTCGTTTAGTCCTACTGCCACCTGGTTCCTTGGAGGCGATCCATTGGATATTTGTCAATTTCAACTTTGCCTCTACAAATAACTCACCATTTCGGTGAGTTTACCTCTGTGTAGAGTCGATACCAATGTCCTGCATCTGTGGTAATTTTTCTTTTCCGTAGCGCACGCAGGTGGAGTATCCACTGCATCAACTGGGCCACGTTCTTGCGTGTTTGCGATTACTTTAAGGGATCCCATCTTGCCGCATACTTTTTGGATTTACAATTTGCTTCTTTACCACATTTGTCCTTTGATTTACTTATTTAAAATGCTACATCTTCGGTCACAACCTACTGCATTGATTCATTAGCGTGTGTATGTGTGGTACACAAGTTGTAGTGATTGACACCCGTTACTGCATTTACACGACACACAGATTGTGCTCTACTGTCGCACACTCGCGCCTACTGGCACGCTGCTTTGCACTGCCTGCAGTTGCGTCCACAAACTCTAACTCAGATACAAATTCGAAGATGTGAAACCAACATAGGACTGTGATTGTTTCATATCAGTCCCTTGCTCCACAACCTCTCATCAGTATATATATATATATATATATATATATATATATATATATATATATATATATATATATATATATATATATATATATATATATATATTGGGGAGCGTGCCACAACACATGAGTAACAATAACAAAATGGAGGAAAAGTGTTAGAAGAATGGAGGCAAAGTTCCAAGTGCTGTGTGGGCAGTTAGCTTCCCGGTTACGCAGGCCGAGGAAGACGGTTCACTTAAGGGGCCCCACCCCGATCCTTTGATCCTAAAGACCTGACCCGCAAAGCAGC